AAATTTGTTTTGTACCACTACAGTAGCACAAATGGGCCTTGAAGCAATAATTAAGTAGCAGCTGAGGATCCCCCAGTTAGCTACCTGCTTCCCACCAACTGGCAAAGCAGGTGTACTGGGGAGGATGCAGGGCCAGAGCACAATGCACTCCAACAATCCTGGCCAGAGGAGCTGCTCCATGGGAGTCACTATCAGCTCATGCAAGTTACAGTAACCCTGAAGCTGCTCTAACTGACCGTTTGGTTCCGGGAAGTCTTCAAGGATGGGGGAAGGAGAGATTGAGGGTGGAGAGGTGTCAAAAAGCCACCTATGCACCATTTCCCAAGGTGGCTTAGCACTGCTCTGACACACCGAAGTATCTGACTATTAGTGTTTCTAAAATACACAAGGGATGATTCTGATCTCACACTGGTTTTACGTAATTTATTCATTGTTTAAAATGGCACCTTATCTTGAGTCTTACGAAATCGTCTATCAATTCTTATATAATGACAGTTCAACTTCTATGCTTTTTAAACTGCTTGAAAAAGCAAAACATTATTGTAATCAGATACTTCCCAACACCATTTCCTCAAACTTTTGCATTTTAAATAACCTCAGTACACCTGCAAGTGTTCCCAAACATTTAACTTTGCACTCAGAAACAGAACACGGGTCTCTTGGTGAACCAGCTGAGCGCTGGAAGAGTGTTGTGTGTTTTAACATATAAATAAGCACACTAACATCCCACTTTGCTTCAGAACTCCTTCAGTTATATTCATTATAGGAATTCAGAAACATCTGTCTGTTCACTACAGCCCCATACTTGTACTGGCTTCACATTCTAAAGATCAATAGCTTTGCATTACAGTGGTGAAGATTCATATCTTGTTAATTAATGTACTCTGTTTGGTAAGACTAGTACACAGGAGACACAGGGAAAGAGAGACAGCTACCATCCAAGACCACACTTGGTAATGGCACACTAATAATCAGACCAACCCTCACACCAATACAAAATTTAGGATCAGAAAGTCATACCAGAAAGAGAATATAGTTATGCACAACTCCTATTATTTAGTAAGTGATTCCCCTGTTGCGTATTTAAATGTACCTTTACAGTATGGGTAGGTGCTCTTCACTCAGTCAAACAGCTTGTATATAAACTTACTTATATATATTTCCATGCTGGGCTGGGTTGTCTGTTTTTTTTAAAGCTGCTTGGGTGTTTTTCCTTAACCATTTTGCATATTAGCTTTTAGATTGTGAGCTCCTCACGAATGTAATGTGTCTTACCTATGGTCTGTGAAGTGCTGTATAAATGTAGACTGCTATATATGAGCAGTCTGTAATATCTGAATAAGTGATAAGTTCTGCTGTGCTTATCGGCCTTCTGCCACTTGTGCCCACCCAACCAGACACTGATGGGAGCACTGCCCAATATCTCTGATGGTATCTAGGAATTCACAATCTGTACTAATATCAGTGGCATTCAGTATTGGCAACTCTTCTGGTTTTATCACAAAACTCCTGATATTTGCTGTCTTGCTTTAAGTCCCAAGTCTGGGATTCATGGAATGACATGAAATCTCATTGTTTTCCATCCCAAGTAAATTTCTAGCCTTCATGGTTGCAGACAAAAGCTTGAAAATGTGAATTCTAAGGGTATGTCTATACTGCAGTTAGACGCCCGGGCTGGCCCGGCCAGCTGACTCAGGCTTCCGGGGCTTGGGCTATGGGACTGTTTAATTGTGGTGTAGACATTCAGGCTCAGGCTGGAGCCCAGGCTCTAGGGCCCTGCAAGGTGGGAGGGTCCCAGAGCTTAGACTGCACACAAGCCCGAACGTCTACACCACAATTAAACAGCCCCTTGGCCCGAGCTCTATTGCAGTGTAGAAATACCATTTAGGCACAAACAACAGAGGTCAAATATTTTAAAACGTCCCCAAAATTTATTGTTTTTAAAAGTCTTATGATTTTTAAGCCAATCTCATTATTATTGGGGC